TACATACTCATGCTAAAGTGATATTGTCTGGTTATATATAAAGCAAACTGTAGGAGGAGGTTAGTATGTATGTATGTATGTTCATGTTTAACAGAAAAAGAGAAGGGAGACAAAAAGTATTTGTTTTTTTTTCTTTTTATGTATTTTTAGGTAGACTGGTGTGTATTGTACAATATAAGTCAAAAGAAAACGCTTAGCTAAAAAAAAAAAAACTCTAACGAGTTAAAGTTTTTTCTTTCTTTTCTTTTGTACTAAAAGTGATGTTGAAGTTTTTTATGTATATACAGATATATACCACCTATCTATCTATGTATATATGTATATATATAGATATGTGTATGCTTGGTTGCTCTTGTCACGATTAACTTTTCTACTTACGTACATAAACAATTTCATAAGATTGAAAAACTCTCTTTTTGGCGCCCATTCCCTTAATGTGCGTGTGACCGAGTAAAAGTCATGCTCACTCTCATAATTTTTAGGTGTTTGTGTTGTATGCATATAAATATACATATATATACATGTCTATACACGTTTACATTTATGCATGAATGTTAATGTTTATGTGTGCGTGCATATATATTATGACTCTAGCCTATAGTGTATAGTGATGGTGTACTGGTGTACACAACTGTGCGACTTTTAATTTTAGCTCCGATTGCTTAGTTTTCCGTAAGGCTTGCAAGTGAACGGAGGTACACTTTCGGTGATATCAAAATAGAACAAAGCGAAATTTTTCATTGCCGTATTTTGGAGCCTTATGTAAGTCAATAACAGTGTCGAGTTTAAGAGCAGTATTGAGGGAGTTTAGCAAAATTAAGCATAAAAAGAGAGTGTTCATCTAAAGTCGATATTCTTCTCTCATGATTATTATGTGGATTGCGTAGCGTCACAAGAAGAGACTAAGGAAATATCATTTTCCTTCTCTCCACTTGTTGTTGTTTTCTTTTTTTTGCGTGTTTGCTGTTGTGGGAAAACCTTAAAGTTAAAGAGAGTAAATGAAGTTCTCTTCTACCGTTGATTTTTTTAAGAGTTTTAAGTAGTATGGTGGTAACATTTTCGTGCGAGTTGCTTATAGATTTTTGTAAACCTTTTGTCGCTTTAGTTGTGTTTGAGCTCTTGGAGCTTTTTGTTGTGTTTGCGCTTTAAAGTGAAAGATTTCACTTTTTTAATCTTTGCGGCAGAAAAAAAAAATTTTCTTGATTTTACACAGCTAAAAGAAAATGTGAGTGTGTACCAAATGAGACTAAACAAGAGAAGAGAAGAAAGAATACATAAAATGTATTACGGTTGTGTGTGTATTTAAATGTATATATATATATATGTATATATATATATATATAAAAGAAAAAAACATAAAAGCTTAAAATTTTAAAGTAAAAATATTTTATCGCTAAAAAAAGTTTATTAGATATCTAATGCAAAAGCAATCCGTAAAAATTTGCAAATTTTCCACAAAATTTTATTGAAAGATGATTGAAAAAAAATATATTTTGCTTTTAATGTTAGTTTTCTGTACAATTAATGACTCTATGTGTGAAGTGCTATTTTTAAAATAGACAGAAAAGAAAAAACGAAAAGAAACTGTGAACAAACGAGAGATAAAATTTTATGCTTTTCATTTTTCTTTATTTACTTATCGTCAACCTACGCGAAATACTTTGATACTTTAGCGAACATCAGTTCAGTCCCGCTTAACCAATGCCGCATACAATTTCTTTTTTTTTTTTTTTTTTAATTTAATTAAAAACGTTTTTTTTTTTATGCTTATGATGATGTGTTGATGATTTCTCGTTTGTTTTTCCGCTTTATAACACCATAGAAAAATAACGCATTTGGCAACTCTGTGATTTTAGAAAAATTTTCATACTTTTATTATACTCCCTGCCTAAAAGCAATAAATACTTTAATGAAAATAATAGCATTTACTGGAGCAAATAATGGAGAAATACAGCTAAGAAAGTGTTCTTATAAAAAAAAAAAAAAGAAAGGAAAAGAAATTAACAACATAAAAACCAGTAGCATACCAATGATCAAATATAAGAAAGAAAACTGTGTTGGTGTCGTGCTATAGTCGTGGCACATTTCGTATGTACATATATATACGTATGTATATGCATCTGCAAATATTTATATATATATGTATATATATATATGTAGTAAGCATGCATAAACCTTCAAATATATCATTTCACAATTGATATATTTCGGTTAGAGGCGACAATCAGTTCGTTGGTTGCCGCTGGTAAAAAGAGTATAAAAGGAAAACATTTCTCTTAGCGGATAAATTTCAGTTTGGACAGCTTCTACTCTTTCTAACAAATTTTTTCATGTTCCTCCTTTCTCTTTTATTCCTTACTCTTTCTTTTTCTACCTCTGTTATTACCTAAGGGAAATACTACCATTCACTCGTTCGATTATGAATTTTTTTTTTTTTTTTAGAGACAGAGTTGTATTTGGTTACGTGTATTATTAATAAAAACAACGTAGAGAGCGAAAAAAAAAATTGGAAAATAAAACTGTTTTATATATAAATTTTGTATTAAAATGTTGCTTAAATATCATTTAAATTGTCCACTTATCCGGTAATGTTTGTATGTCTGTTGCTATTAATTGTTTTTGCATCTGTCTAGTTTTACTGCTTTTTTTTACTGCAAACATAAATTACCGCAGTTATAAAATAAAATAGAAATATATACAATGTATAGATTTTTTTTTTTATTTATAATGAACTTGACCTTGAGTATTTCTGCGTTTAATGTTTAGACAATTCTAACAAATATAAGTGCACACATGCTTACACATATACTTTTGACCAGCCATTTTTGTTTTTCAAAGGTATGTTTTTTTAAGACCAGTAATGAATTTTCGTACCTAAATAAAAAAAAAAAAAAAATTAAAAAAAACTCACTAAAAACATTTGCGAAAGATGTTTATTTATGATAAAGTGTTTTTTTTTTTTTTCAATTAGGTTTTGGTTGATTATTTTTATGATGATTATTTTTGCTTTTTCTTTTTTTTTTTTTTGCATGTGTAAGCCGCACTTGAAATTTATCTAAAAGTAGATTTTTGTTTAATTTTTTTTCAATTAGTTATGTACTTTTAAATAATAATTAAATCAAGCTTTGTCGCATATAAAGGTTTTGTTAAGTGTCAAAAAGAAAAGGTTATAATAGTCTTCAATACATTAAACGGTTAGTAGTTCCACAAGGCCTTTCTTGAGTGTTTTAAATAATAGTTAATTACGTTATGAACACGACTCCCGGTAATCCAAAAGAAACTTGTAAATATTGTCTGAGCCTAAGCTTAAGCACAAAGCACATTAGTCAAAGTTCATATTGAGGTTCGATTTTTTTTTACTAAATGGAAGTTTTTTAGTTTTACCGTTTGTGTGAATGAATTTTATTAATAGCGCGTGAATTTAATGTACATAATAATGTTTCCGTTTTAGTGACACTATGTAAATTTAATGTAAAAATTTCGAAATAGATTTTATTTTATTTTTATATTTATTTAAGTTTAAACTTTCTAAACTGAAGCGCAGTTGTGTTATAGGAGGAAAAAAATATCATAGACAATACCATTAATAGATTTTTAATTATGGTGCATGTTCAGTAACATCGAAAAGATTGATTAAAGTGTAATAACGAAAAACAGTAAAATATCAATTGGTTTAGTGGTTTGTTGCATTGTTAGCGTTTCAACCCACTAGCATTGGCAGTCGTTCGCAAATGGGAGAGCAGGAGCGTTCCATTGCTTGACGGCATATATAAGAAAGTGCCCTTCGCAGACTAGGCTGCAATAGGTCACTTTTTAATGATTTTCAAGTCGTAAACAAAGTATGTTAAGCTTGACGATCGATGGTTTTTTCATCTTTAGCATTTTTTGCCTTAGGAAAAATAGCCTTCCCAGAAAAGCTTAAGGCATTTAAAGTATGAACGCAGGTTTTTGATGGAAATTAGTGTAAGTGCTTGAAAGTGCCGCGAAAAGTTTAGCTTTGGAAATTAAGTGATTGCAAAGAAAGGTTATATTTCTATTATTGAATCTTCCATCTTCCGAAATAAAAGAAGAAGAAGAGAAGAATATACGTGATTTTCTGATGTACCTGGAATGAAATCGAGTTGCATTAATAGGCTTAGTATTATTGATTCAATTTTATTTTCCAATCATGAATAGTTCAACAACGTACATCAGTCGGACATAATGTAATTATCAATTTGTCACACTACGCACATGCGAACATGAAGACGAAACTCTGGCACATTTCATCCCTCGGTGTAATAGGTGCAATATGCAAAAAATACAACCTTAAAGTGTTGGGAAGGTAGACAAACGGGGCTCCAATAGCAAACCAAAGCAAGTCTGGAAAGACAAAGCGATTATCTCTGAATAATATTATGACTGAATATTATTTTTTGCAATTCAAAATTTATACCTTTTAAAGCAAATGTAACTAATTCATCTAAAGACTGGGAAAGTAGAAGTTCGTATCATTGGCCGGTCGCGACCAAAATGTGAATACTTTAGTAGTGATATGAGAAGTTGGAAATGAGAGGAATGAAATAGTTCATGAGTTACAAAATATACCACATAGTTAATCCAAATATAATTTATAGCATTTCAAGAATCCTTACGTACAACTCGAAATCCAAATTTTTTCATCTCAATTTTTTCTAAAAATTTGTTGCTATTTTGTAAATATAAAGATCTCATTTCGATAATCTATCTGCCTTTAAGTATAGGTTTGTTGTTAAATCTGCTCTCCAATCTTTTTCTAAACAAAATGCAAAAACAATTATTTGCTTCTCCTTTTATGCAATAAGGACAATGAATAATAAATTGAAGTTGTTCTTTAAATAAACGAAATTAATCATATGAAGCATACAGGGTTGCATTTCGGAGATATACTCAATTTACGTTAATTTATTGATACCGTCATATATTCTCTGTCTACTTGCGCTTTTATTAATCTATTCTATTTTCTTTCCTTTTCATTGCAGTTTTTTTTTTTTTTATATATATAAATAAATTGATGACAACAACAAGCAAGCAAAAATACCAAATACCCAAATGATGTCTAGTGTGAAACCATAAAAGCGAAGCACGAAGGAAATAATAAAAACGCATAAGAAAACTATATAGAGCAAAAAAAAAAAAACAAAAACAAACTTTATACCAAAAGAAAACCTCACCACCTGTCCCCCACTCAGAGAGATAAAGTAAACAAAAAGAAAAAAAAAAAAAAAGGAGAAAAAAAAAACTGTTTTACTCTTCCTCAAATCAAATAACGGAAGTAAAAGAAAGTAGAGGAAGGCGAAGCAAAGAAGAACTCATCTAATTTTGTATTCGGAGAGAAGAGTTGAGAGAGAAAAATAACGGGAACATATAATATTTGTAACTCACACGCACTTTTATCACTTTTTGCTGTAATTTGCTGCGAAGGCAACAAGCAACAAATTGGAAGAACAACAAAAACTCAGGTTTATAAACAAAAAAATTTGATAAAATTTAAAGGAGGGCAAGAGCACGCAGGACAGAGTAAGAGGGTAAAGACAGAAAGAGAAAGAGAAAGAGAGAGTGGGAGCGAGACACATAAATAGGGAAAAACGAAAAGAAACTTGAATAAATCATTGCCGAGAGAGCGCAGTAAGAGTGGCGTATATGACGTGTACTGTTGTTGTCACGTTTGGGGTTTGGTTATTTCCTTATCTTTTTACTACTATCCCTATTGCTACATCAAACAACTGTCTATCATCCTATCATTCGTTGTCGTGTAGTCACTAACGTGGTGGCAAATTGATTTTGCCAACATGGACGATCACGATCAACAATTCTGCTTGAGATGGAATAACCATCAGAGTACAATTATCAGCGTATTCGGTACTCTGAAGGAAAATGAAGCATTAGTTGATTGTACCCTGGCAGCTGAGGGTAAATTTCTGAAAGCTCACAAAGTCGTCTTATCAGCATGTAGTCCGTATTTTGCGGTAAGTTTTATTAATCAATTTTTCTTTTCGCCCAAGCAATTAATGTGATATTTGTGCGCTTGTTTTCTTTCATTTGTTATTATTTACGTTAGACCCTCTTGCAAGAGCAATATGATAAACATCCGATCTTTATACTGAAAGATGTTAAATATCAAGAGCTATGCGCCATGATGGACTATATGTATCACGGCGAGGTCAATATCTCGCAAGATCAATTGGCTGCTTTGCTTAAGGCCGCGGAATCTTTGCAAATTAAAGGTTTATCCGATAATCGTTCAACAGGCGGTAGCACGGTCCCAAAACAAGAACATCACAGAGCTAGCATGCCACCTACGCCGAAATTATCCGGTGGCTATACGCTTGAGCAAACTAAGCGCGCCCGCATTGCACTTGGACCTGGTTCGATAGATAACCAAGAGATGGGCTCACGCGAAGGCTCATCAAGTCCGTCAAGAAGACGTCGAAAAATGGGACGCAGAAGTATTGAAAATGCCACGACTGGTAAGTTAACATTACATCAGTGCGATTAAAAAAAATTCTATTAAGGTTTTTTTGTTTTTTGCGTTTTTGCTTTTTAGATGTCCACGACAATGCAAATTCATCACAACAGCCGCCTGGCCCGAATGCTGCCGTTGCCCTCTCCGGTGTCGGTGCCATTACCGCAGCTGCTTCCGCTTTGGCTGCTGGTACAATTGCAACATCTTTGCCAGCCGGCGCCAGTTTGGCAGGCACCTCAACATCTCTAGCTGCTCCTGCTGTTATGTCTGGTGCAGCTATTTCGGGTACGACGACCAGCACCACCAAAAAGACTGAAAGCCTTAAAGCGGCAAGTCAACAATCATCAGATGCCATGAACACCGACAATGTACAAGGTTCAAATTTGGCTAATATCGATGCTGTCTCTGAACATCTTCACCATCATTCAACACATCATCATCATGCTGGTGATATTGTTGATAAATCGTCGAATCATAAACAACAAAAACAAACATCTAAAGATGCATCGGGCAGTGGCGGCGGACCTTCATCTGAGCTTGTTATCGAACCAAAAAGTGAATACGATGATGAGGGCAACGACGAGGCCGTAGAAGATTTAACATTGGATGAAGAAGATATGGCCATTGATGATTTGGATCAAAATGCGGGCACCAGTCAAGGCGGTGAAGGATCTAGTCATGGTAAAGACATTGAAAAGAAGAATTATTTCGTTTATTTTTTCTTTTTTGTTCGGAACATCGTTGGCATGGTGCACTTTTAATGAGAACCGTTATAAATATCCTTCAGATTTCATGTTATTTAACAAATTTCCATAAAAGTAATTAATCAACGATTACGGGCGGCTTTTATGAATGAAGACTTCTGGCTTTCAAGTCCTTCCGGTATTGCGATCCGGTTATCGTTAGGCAGAAGAGAAAACATTGTGTTTACTTGTGTAATAGGATCTAGGACAAGTACCACAACATGTTAAAAGTATTTAGTAAAATACTGCCGCCCGCTATTGCCTTGCATTAATATCGTGGCAATATTTTCCTGTTGAACGGATGCTTTCTCTTGTTTCTAGGAAAAATTCTATAAATTTTTTTTTTTTTTCGTATCTTCATGGTAGGGCCTGAACTTAGTCGCATTTATAATTGGTTATAGAGGTTCAGAGAGGTTTCATCAAACGAAAACATTTTATGAATAAATTTAGATATTTCAGTGCCAAACCTCTACATAGTGCTATCCGTACAACTTCTACAGATTATTTTTCAGTTCCATACAACTTCAATGGATTATTTTTCATTTCATTGCAAGTTTGTCCGAGTCTGTGATATTCACACATAATAAACACAAACCATAAAAGTGGAAGAGAAAGTAATAGCTTGGGGAATTGGGTTCTGACACGGCTCTTACTCTTTACTTCCATCAAAAGATCCTAGAGGGAGGAGGTATCGAAGGAAAATAAACAATAAACTTGATCTTATATCGTACGTGAAGGTTATAAATTGTTTGTGTCGATAAAAGCATTTTTTATGCCCTTCAAAACGATGTAAAGTACCACCGAACAGATATGAAAAAGTTAATGCTAATTAGCTTTTAATAATTTTCATTTAATTTTTAAAATAAAAAGAAATTCATTAATTTTTGCTTTTTTTCTCAAAATTTTGATTTATACAGGATATGCACCCTGGCAACCTGATCGATCTCAGAATGAATTATTATTGGAAACACAAGAAGCGCAGCAACGGGATCCTCAAGGTGAGTCGAATAAACTGATTTTCAATTTGTTGTAGTAGAAAGAAAAAAAATATATATGAACAATTTAGAACAAAATTAGAAAAAAGCAAATAAAATGAAAAATATAAGAAGAATAAAAGAAAAGCTAAAAAAGAGCACGACACGACAATTAAAACTTTAACAACAGCAAATTTTATATGTAAAATAAATGATTTTTTGAAAATATCAACAAATAACAGTGTGAATTAATTAAAAAAGTTTTTAAAAAGAAATTTCAATATTTCTTACTTCATTCAAATACATTTTCCCCATCTAAAGCTGTTGACTTGAATTTCTAGTAATTTTCCAATCTTTTTAAATATAATATAATTTTCATAAAAGTCGTGCTCAAGCTAAGAATTGTAGAATTTTATTAAAAAAAAAAAAAGAACAAAAAGAAAAAAAATATTTAAAGAAGAGAATTTTAGATAATTTTTTTTTTTTTATTTAACCTTTAAAAAACAAAGCAACACTTTATAATTTATTATTTTAATATAATTTTGTGTAAAAAATGACAAGAATAATTTTTTTTTTTCCTAACTACTCAACACTAATCCTAACTTCACAAAAAGTTACAGAAAATAAGAAGTAAAAAAAAAAAAAATATTGACTTTTTTATACTCTTTTTTTTTATTAGAATAAATGAAATTTATTTTCTGTGACTTTTTCATCTATTCTTATATTTAATGAGATTGGTTTTCTTTTTTTTTTTTTTTATTAACGATCAAAATATTTTTTTTTTTTTTTTTTGTTAACTCACAAAACTAACAATAATGCTAAATTTTACATTAACTTTTACTACTAATAACTACATAAAGTGCAAGTTGTTTGAATTATATTTAAAAGCAATCAGTATATTCATATTATTGTATATTTTATTTATTTATTAATTCATTTTTTTAAATTTCGGTAACATTTTGTGTATGTGTTTGTATTTGTGTTGTTCGTTTTAGTTAGTTTTAATTTGTAATTTTTATTTTTTTTTATTTTTTAGTCTTTCTTGGTGATGTTTTTGTGTTTGTCTTTTATTTCTTATTGTTCTTTATTTTTTTGGGTATTTGTGTTGTTGTTGTAGCATTTTAATTAAATACTTTTTTTGTTATCTTTTTTTTTTTTAACTACATTTCATTACGAATTATGTTTAAAATAATTTTGTGTATAGAAATGCTTTCATTCTCGATTCGGAATATGAAGCTTTTTAAAGGAAATTTTCGTCGTTAAAAAAAGCAAGAAAAGACATTTCTTTTTTCTGTTTCTCATTTCTAAAGGGTAAAAGTGTTTTATTTTGAAAAGCGATATATATTTTCTATCTGACAATCGTTAAATAAAAAATTATTCCGCGAGATTTATTCTTAAAAAAAAAAGCAAAATTTTTTTTTCAGTCAGTTTTTATATTTACCCATGTTCAGTGTAAGATTTTTCCCAATCTGTGGAAACACAATATTCATCGAGACCGAGCAGAAATTTTTCTTCACTTTTCCATAAGCAAAGTTTCCATAAGCGTTCCCAGTTCTTCTGTTTAAGATTTTTGGGGGAACTTCTTGGCGTTAAATTTTCCATGTCGGCTTGGACATGTTATCTGCCTCAGTTGAAGAAATTTTTTTCTGAAATTTTTTTTTTATTATTTATATGGTAGTCTTTAGTCATCAAACTTCTTGAGTGAATCAGTGAAAATGTTATCAGAGTTGCAATTTTGGAACAAACATTATCGATTTGCTACCGAAAGATGAAATGCCACCCGTACACGATAAAAAGAAAACGCAATTTTAAATCTGTAGTAAGGCATTAGTGGGTTTTTTTTTTTTTGGCAAATATATTTAGAGGCTATTTGACTACTTGCTTGCAAAAAAGATCCTGAAAAATCAACTTTCACTGTATTAGCTAACAATATAATAAAAATAATAAAGGAATAAAAGTGACAATAATGTAATAAACAAAAAAAAAAAATTAAAAATATAATACTTAAGTTTATAATAAAAGACGTCAACAAAATAAAGCACTTTTACATAATGTCTTCAATTTCTTATTTTATGTGTATTCAAAATTGATTTTCAAAATCGCTAAACTTCAGATGATTGTCTCTGCCCCGCAAAAATATTTAAAAAAAAAAAAATCTTTATAAATCGTAATAATCATAAATAATAAAAATGTCAAGCTCTCTTTCTCTCTCTCTCTCTCTCTTCCTGAAATCAAGCACACTCACATAAATACACACACATGCGCACACGTTCACACAAAATCACATGTACACATTTACTACATTAAGATTTGTTTATAGTTTTATTTTTATTTGTTTCCTATCTACTGTTATTCTTTTTTTTTTGGTTTATCTTAATTTCAATTCATGTGCCCGTGTTATAAGAGGGGTTTTAGTTGAACATGAAAATGGAAAAAGAGTTTTTTTTTTTTTTTTTTTTTTAAAGATCGAAAATGTAAAGGAAATATTCTTTTGGTTTAAACATAGTGTGCGTCCCCTTTTACTTGTGTTTTACTGTCCTAGTGTCCCTTTTAGCATTTAAAGAAGGTGTGAAAGTTTTATAAACAATGCGTTGGCCTCCTAAATTAAAAAAAAAAAAAAATGAAACTATAAAAAAAATAAAGTAAAAAAAAAACAAATATCGTTTAGTAGGAATTGTTTTTAAAAATTTCAAATTTTTATTATTATATTATATTTTAATTATTGTTATTATCGTTATTTTTAATATATATATATATATGTAAACAAATACGCATGCATTGAAATTCGTTAAAAATAATTATTAGCAAAATTTTAATTTTCCTTATATATATGTATAAATTTTTTTTTGTTTTCAAATTATTTTTCAAATTTATTTTGTTTTAAGAAAATTTTGCTTTTAATTTATTTATTTATTTTCTGTTTTTTTTTTTTTTTTTTTTTTTTTTTTTTTTTTTTTTTTTTTT